TTTCTCGAATACATTTATTCATAAGACGTTCTTTGGCTTGAGGTATAAATTCGTTGTTTGCGATCATTTGACTAATGGTAGACGAGACCTGGGAGCTTTGATTCGAGAGCTTTGATGAGAACGCTTTTACAAAGAAAAGTCGATCGCTTCTCAATGAACGGGAGTTTGCTCTCCGCCAACAGAATATTTGTGGGAGTAGAAATTCTATATCCTAGACTGTGACGGATAGCCGAGTATTGAAGGCGTTCAAGCTTGAGGACATCTTGTTTCTGAACTGGAAATGCGACAAATGAGCTGTAATCAACTATCGAACGGACAAATGCTTTGTAAATGATCAACAGGGTTTCTGGATGTGCCCCCCACCACGTGCCTCGTAGGAATTTAATGATGTTGAGGGATTTGAGTGCCGATGGGAGGGTTTTAGCTAATTGTGGTTTGAATGAGAGCCTCTGATCGAATACGATTCCCAAAAACCTTGCCTCAGGAGATCAGCGAATCACGTGTTTGTTAATTTCGATTTTTGTGTTAGCCGGAGCTTTTTTCCTTCGGTGGAAGTGGACCAGTTGGGTTTTTGACGGTGAGAGTGTTAGTACAATTATATTCAAATTGTGATCAATTTCTTTTATGGAATCTTCCATCGAGAGTTTCATAGCGGCTACTGTGGGAGAGCTTGTGTAAATCGCAATGTCGTCCGCGAGTTGGGAGATAGTGACGTCGCCCGCGAGATTATCAGCGATGGGGGCTACGTAGATGATGTATAATAAAGGAGACAAGACTCCTCCTTGGGGGACTCCTTTATATACAAGTCTGGGTGTCTCGTTATACGGCGACGTGATTTGGCTCTCAAATGTTAAAAACTTGATAAATTTAATTAATATTAGTGGGCATCCGATTGCAGCCAGTTTCTCAAGTAAAATTCGAGAGTTGACCTCGTCAAATGCCGACTTTACGTCTAGAAAAGCGGCGAGGGTTTCTTGATTCTTGGCTAGATTGGAGTCGACATGAAGGAGTAGATTCGATAGATTGTCGTGGCAAAATCTCCCTTTACGAAACCCGCTTTGGGAATTTGGGAGGAGGTTGTTATGTTCCACCCACCACTGGAGTCTGCTTGTTTCGAAAAGTTTACTCAGACAAGATGAGAGGGCAATGGGTCTCACTCCCGTCCCACCTGGCTTAGGAATAAAATGAAGGTATTGCTGAGTCCAGTTTGGGGGATAGCTTCCTGAGGATAACATCTCATTGAATATATCAACTAGGATTAATTTGTATTTTGGGGAAGTTTTTTGAGGGAAGTGTAATATAGGCCATCCATTCCGGGAGCCGATTTATTGCTGCGGGTGCCGTGTTAAACTCTACATATGAGAATGGAGCTTCTAACATTGGATTTTGTTCGCACTGAGGTAAATAGGCGGGATCCGAGTGGGCCCATGGAGGGCTAATGGAGTTAAGGGATTTCTCTACTTGGTCGTCGTTCTTTGCATCTTCCCTCTTGTTCATCGGAGTGTTATTCACCCAGGAATTCTTGAAAATTTTACACGAGCTCCAGACATATGTTTGATTTTTCCTGATGTCAATCGATTGTGCAAAAGCCCTGAAACTATTTTTTTTCTTAGTCGCAAACAGCTGGGTAGCATCAGCAACCGCTCGCCTATGCCCAATGTAGTCCTCATGGGATTTTGAAGACTTCCATTGGGCATAAGTCGCGATGCGATACTCCCGAGCATCCCGACACTCTGCGTCCCACCAGTGGACTGGGTTTCGATGACGTGACGGAAAAACCTGAACTTTACGAGGAGTGTTAGATATTATGTGATCGGAGACGTGCGTGATGAACTTGTGGTATTTTTCGACTGGACAGAGACTCTCATAATTTGACTCGACGAAGATAGGGATGAAGGAATTGTCTAGTGATTTCTCAATGGCCTCCCATTCAGTTCTAACCGATGCAAGCTTGAATGACTTCTTAATATAAATATGCTTTTCGATAGCTACTTGGGTTAGAACTGGAAAATGATCTGACCCATAGGTCTCGTCTTTAACAGTGACTTTGATGTTGTCCACTAGTGAGGTAGATGAAAGTACTAGATCGATATTCGATTCACTCGTTTCGTCATATCTAGTGATAGTGTCCGGATTATGAATTATGAGGTCATGAGTGAGGATTGAGTTATAAAAATTATCCCCACCCTGTTTATTCCCTTTACAATTCCACGCTTGGTGGTGGCAGTTGAAATCGCCTATAATAATTGATTGTTGAGGAGATGAGGATAAGGCACAGATTTTGTCCCAACCGCAGTGGAGGAGTGATGTGTGGCGGGGTTTGTAAAATGCGTATAAATTAAATGCTGGGAGAGAATTTGTGATTTGAAATCCGATTGATTCTATTAGCCGGTCTGAAATATCTGGAGTTTCAATTTGTTTATAAGTAATGTTTTTCCTGAAAGCCACCAAAAGGCCTCCACCCATATTGTATTTCCTGTCTTCCCTAATTACAAAGAAGCCAGGAAGTCTACGGTCACGAGTGTCATTGGGCTTCAGGTGGGTTTCAGCGCATACCAATATGTCGATGTCCTAGATGAGGGTCTCCAATTCTGCTCTGCGGCGATCGAAGGCCCGGCAATTTCAGTACAGGATTTTGAGTTTTCTGCTAACAGGAGGATATGGTGGTCGGGAGCTATTGGAATTTGTTGATGTGTTCGCAACCATTGTAGTGTATTCTCCTCCCAGCTGAGCTTTCAGATCTCCATCGTTGATTCATGATTCGTTTTGCTGCTATTATTCCTTGACTCCAGGCGAACGAAATGTTCCTTCTCCAGGGCTTTACACAGCTTAGGAACACGATTCTTGAGTGCTTTCCGGGGTAGTTTTGTCTTGACGTAGTCGATCATAATGGAGAGTGCCATCAGTTCCTCAGTTATCTTGAGAGCATTTTCCACAGCTTTGAGGGGACTCCTAGTTTCTTCAAGATAATCGCGAAGTTGAGTAACAGTTATTGGCAATTCGTTTGCTTTTTCACCCATGAGTTCCTGAACCCCCTCCCAGTCAGCCTGTAGTCCAGCAGACTCCAGAGACTCTTGAGAGGCACTGGGAGAGCTGGAGACTCTTGGTTTCTTCGCAGGATTGTTGGGTTTTTCTTGATTTGAGTCCTTTGATGAACGTGAAGAGTCTTCGCGGGAGGATGCATACGACTCGGTGTCCGAGTGAGAGCCCGATTCTCCATCAACTCCTTCAGTTCCAACACTTGGTTCTCCAGCGGATGCGTTGGATTGAGTGGAGATTGAGAGAGGCCTCTTTTCCTTGTGCGATCCTTGGGGTGGGGGAGCCATGGATGCAGAGGTAGTGTATGGTTTATCCATTCCATTGGAGATACTGATCAAGGGATCGCTCAGTTCTCCAATTATCATGGTAGAATTAGCGATTGGAGGGGGCGGAAGATTAGCGATTGGGGAGGATGGAGGATCAGCGATTGATGGGGATAGTGGATTAGCGATTGGACGGGATTGAGTTAGCTCGTGATTAGGATTCGTTGTGATAGAAGGATTACTCATCTCAGAGGGATCCACGTCGGTGTTAAAACTCTGTTCTACTGATTGTCCGTTCTGCTGGTTGTCAATTTTTTTGTTAGGGCAATTTTTCGCGAGGTGTCGTTCTTTATTGCACTCAAAACATGCGGCTGTATCTACCGAGATGTAGATCAAAATAATTTTGCCGAAGACCGTTACTTCCATTCTCTTCGGTAATTTCGCAACGTCCTCCGGGGAAACATAAACTGATCTCATCGTCGTAATCGGAGTTGTGATTTTAATTCCATATTTGTCTCTCAGTTCCTCTTCCAAGAAGCTGTTCTGGACTTGAGGAAACACGTGGCTGAATATAATCCTCTTGTTTCTGGTAACGTACGGGCGAATGTGTACTATTTGGTGACCTACTTTGAGGTGCCTCTTTGAATTGATTACCTCGTCTGCCGTACGCACACTGTCCAGCCAAACAATGATACGACCGTTGGAAATGACGTCAGTGCAGACAATTTTCGATGAATCAATAATTTCCAAAAGGGCAAGAATGTGATCTTCGGGTTTTGCGTTTTCATTCCTCTCCAGGATAATAGCCTGTTCGAATAATGGTCCAGTGGTGTTCTTTGCCATCGACACGTACGAGGGTTTCGTTGAAGTTTGGGGTGACACATTGGTTTGATTTTCTCTATTCTGGGAACTCATTTTTAGTTGGCCCTCTCCGTGAGGACCGACTATTAGCAGTTTTACCAAGAGGAATTAATCCTCACAAATTAATTTAATTGGTCAATCGACACCGTAGCACTAGTAAACGATAGAACATTTTGATTCGCAACGTCAAGCGCGTAGGGAACTTAACAGGCACGTCTGCTCTCTACGGTGGCTCAAGCGAGACTCTCTCGTGATATCTCTGCAACCATGACAGCTATGAAAAAAGATTATAAAACAAAATAGGTCCACTTTTTGATAAGGAACATTTTTTGTTTGAAACATGTTCCCCTACAGCCAACCGTTTCCGCGATATTCCATTTTAAACAATCAAATTGTTATAAAAAAAGAGACTGCCCACGATTTCGCACAAACGATCATCATATTCGTAATCAGCGACCTCGAAAACATAGAATCCAGTAATAAAATCTAATAGACATCTCAATGTACACAGAAGTACCCCTAGCGTATGGACTAGTGATTATTGCCGGATCTCACTTAAATTCGGACGGCACGTCGTCAGTACATGCCACCTCTTATAGACGCAACGTATGTCAATGCGAGGAAATCCTCGGAATATCATTCCGGAATTAAGGATAGTATTAAAAGTATTAAAAATTTCGGATTCCGGAATATTATTCCGGATTCCGTCATATTTTATATTTTATTTTATATTTTATTCCGGTTCCGGAATATTATATCCCCGATTCGAGGAGATTTCTTTTTCGTGATCTATTCATAATTCTATTTTTATCAAACGATTTAAAATTGACTCCATAGTTGATGAGGAAGGGTCCAATAAACTCCTTAAGGTCACACTTTCCACGATGCCTCAAGGACTTTGTAACCGTGTTGTCGTCGGAAATACCGTCCATCCAAGGTTGAAGCAGGGCATAGTTGATGATTGGCAAATCTGTGCTGGTGAGGAAGGGAAAGATACGTGTCAGGTAAAGTACATGCAAATATCTGGAATGAATGTTTCAAATTTTTTAAAGTGAATCTAATTTTCAAGATGTTTATGTTTTGTTGTTTCCGAATAGGAGCTATGTAATTGGGATTTTCTTTATTTCCTAATTTTGGGTGGAAATACCTATGAATGTCATGAAACGTGAAAAAATGATGTATTTAAACAACTAGATTGATTTATTCTATATTATTTTATTTTATTTTTTTCGCCGTTTCCGTTTTCAGGATTAGATTAAGTCAATTGGATTAAATTTCATTCTTGATATAAATACTTTTTTTGGTAAGTGTAAAACTACATAATTGACGGGCATATCGACGAATAACCCTATCAAATACAAGTCTACCTATACAAGTACACACAATTTTTATTTTTCCAACGCTACCGAGAGGACATCAGTACCCAATAATGGTTTCAAAAAATTACTTCCCTACCAGAGATTATAGGGGAGATGAGCAGGGCCAATGTAAAGTGTTCAACAGCAAAATTCGTAGCGGTGGCACATGGACTACGATGGAGCGTACGGAACTGTTGGTATGGTAGGGCCCGAGCATAAATTTGTCGATAACCGGAAAGGGGTTCTCAATACGGTAGCTCCTCGCATTTTGTAATAATTGTCAGGAATGTAAAATCGAACATATTATAATCAATAGTACAATGAATGCACAATCGAATGATCTAAAAGTCTTTTCCTTTTTCTCGACATATTTATTATTGACACGTAGGTCAAAAAATTCATAGAAAATCCCAGCGCTGTCGCTGGAAAACTCTATAGTTTTCCAGTGATTCTATTGAATAATTGTGCAGATTTTGTTTTTTCTTACTATAGTAATGTTCGATTATATATATTTATTCCCCCCCTGAGTGAGAAAGGAATATGTATCGCGCTCGCTCCCACTCATTGTCGTCTCCGTCGCGTTGGCACGTGCCCGTCCTCCGCCAAACTTAACGAGTGCGAGTGAGAAAGAAAATGGAGGAGGACAGAGAAAACATTCCAACTCGTTTCAACATTTGGAACGTTTTCGTTGTTCTTCAGTGATCTACACATAATGGGATTAATTCAATAATAATAGATTAATGAATAAGATTTTTCGCAGATTATTGCGAGATTTAGATGAATGGTTTGCCTCCTTCAGTGACCATAAAAAAATGTCTCCAATCGACAATATCTCCC